TCTAATTTTATTTTCATTATTTTTTCTTTCTTCTTTTTTAGATATTTTATTAGAAAATATAATTTAAAATAAATTTTGTAAAAAAAAATCAAATATAAAATCTTGATCAACTAATATATAATTTGAAAATAAAAAAATGTAACTTCTCACAACGCTGATGGTGTAAAATTTATGTGATCAAACATTCACTTTTTTCTTATATTTTTCTTAATTTTTCCTCTCCTTTGTCGGCTTCCCTTCGCAGGAATCAAGATTATTATTGGGCCAACATGGGCCTGATTGTACTAACTTTGCACGCCCAGCAAAGGATTGGTTGCTAGATGGGATTGCCAACATTATCAGTCCATTCAGTAGCCATGAGATCAAGGTATTTTAAATACTAGGCAAGACTTAGTATAATTTATAATTGAAAACAATTAAATAAAAATAAAAATTAAATAAATTTAAACATCTTGTTACGCAAAATTAGAATAAATTTTTATATTCTAACCATTGCCTTTTAAGTATATCGGTTTATTGCTAATGAAATTTTAATTTAGTAGCAAAGAAAGGAACCTAAAGTTTTAAGTCCCACGTGTGTAAGTTTGGTTTAACTTTTAAGTTGGAATTTATATGTATTAGCTATATAGACACCATTCACCCAATCACAATTAAAATTTCATTTACATTGAGTATTAAAATATGTTTGTTTATGTATAACTGATGTTAAAAACTAGCTATTCATATAAAAAATTATTTTTTAAATCTTGATAATTTTAAGTATAAAAAATTTACTTTAAAGAAATGTGATAATTTTTTTTTTTTAAACCTATGCATGAAAACAAATGTAAACCTATTAGAGAAATTGAGCCAAAGTTTTCTCAATTAATACATGGGCCCAAGTAGCTAGGTACTTGCCCATTATACAAGATTCCATGGTCAAGTGGAAGAAAACCATTATGATTTTTCCAATTTTTTTTGATAAAAATTCTTTTACAAGTAGGAAAAATTATACTTTATAGTGATGATGAAAATTTTAAATTTTATAAATGATTTATAAAATTGTTGCATGCCCATTGAACTATAATTAAGAAAATTAAAATTTTAATTTAATTGCTAAATAACATGTGACATTTTCGTAAATCAATTTATGAAATTAAAAAGCTAAACGACTTCATTTTCAATGTAGATGATAAATAATTTAAAGTTTAAAACTAAATATAAAGATTTTATTTTTAGTTTAAAAAATAAAAAATTCCACTTGGTTGATGTTTTTATTATTTATTATTTCTTATTTTTACTTTGTATAAATTTAAAATTCAAAAATTAAATAACAAAACTAAACCTAAAATATCATGTTGACTTCAATATGAAAAAAGTAGCACATCATTTGAGTTTAGAATCTATTCTATTAAGCTCAAACCATTTTCAGACTCAAAAGGGTAAGAGACTACACTATAGCAGACTTTTGCAACGATAGAAACAAATTAATTCATATAATTATTTAATAGGTCTAACTTCTCAACTTATTCTCAAGTTGCACCTATATATATATATATATATATATATATATATGTGTGTGTATAAAATAACTAACAAGAAGCATCTTAGAAGTTTCCTACATTCGAAATATATATATATATATATATATGTGTGTGTAAAAAATTTAATGCCGGAGCTAGCAAAGTTGATCTGATATTTTTTAAAAAATTTTTTGATTATTTTGATTCAACTCAATTTGATAAAAAAAATTTAATAATTTGAATTTATCTTATTTAATTTCGAAATAACTTAAATTATTACAATCATCCAAATTTGAAAAAAGATAAAAAAGACTTAAAATTTAATAGATTTAATTTTAAATATCAATAATTTAAATGTAAACTTGACAACTCGAATTTGAATAATTTAAATATTAAATTCAAAATTATTCCATTTCAAGATAATCCTAACTTAAAAGGATTCAAAATTTCTTAATCTAAAATGTGCTAACTCAAAATGATATATAACCCAAATAGATCAATGCGATCAATTATAAACTCTAGACCAAAATCTTATTTAGCAATGAATTTAAATTCTTTATAAAAAATTAAATTTAGCTTAACAAACAGCTAGTATTAAATTAAGAGAAATTATTCAATATATTATTAGTAAAATTTTTTAGTTTCACATGTGGAATTAACAGAACAACACAAATTACTTAATGCATATTTAAAAAAATAAAAAATATATTTAAAAAGGACATATATTATTTTATTAACCCTATTTATAAAATTTAAAAACTTCACTAATAATTTATCCAACAATTTTTATTAAATTAATAGCATCAACAAAACTATCAATCAATTCAGCTCAAACATACCAATAATATTGGTACCTATAAAATGATGTTTATTATTTTTAATTTAGGGTTAATTATGAAAATGATTCTTATATTATACCCTTTCTATTAGTTTGGTATCTTAAAAAAAAAAATTTTAATTTCATACTTTAACTTTTATTCTGTCATTATTTTTGTATTAAGACTAACACCAATAGTCAATTTACTGATGTGATATAAACATTTAATAAAATACTGATATGTATCAAAAAGTTCAATCAATTTCATATTACTAATTGATACATCAGTCTTAAAATATTTTTTTTTAAACTCACAAAAAATAAAAAAAAAGTCTCATACAATTTTTAAAAATATCATAAAATTGAAATATTTAAAAAAATTTAAAAAAAATCTCAAAATTTTAATAAAAATATAAAAAATGAAAAAAATAAAAATTTAATAAAAAATTTGTTAAAATAAAAAAATTTAACAAAAACTTAAAAAAATTGAAAATAATAGAAATCTAAAATTTTTTGAAAATATGTAAAAATTTGTAAAAAATTTTTTTAAAAATTTTGAAAAATTTTCAATTTTTTAATGTTACAATTTTAAAATTTTATATATTTTATGAAATTTTGAGATATTTTTGGATTTTTTATTAAAATTCTAAGTTTTTTTTATATTTTATATTTTTAAAATTTTAAAAGTTTGAAGAATTCTTTTTATAAATTTTCAAATTAAAATTTTTTATATATTTTTAAATTTCAATATTTTCAAAAAAATTTTATGTTTTAAATTTTTGAATTTTTTTGAATTTTTAGAAATTATTATTTTTATTGAAATTATTATTTTTTATTTTTTCAAAATTTTTTTTGAAATTTTTTTGAATTTTTAATAACATTTTGAGATTTTTAAAAATTTTTAAGTTTTAATATTTTTTAAATTTTTTAATTTCTAAAAATATTTCAAAATTTTAAATTTCTATAAGTTTTTTTTTGAAATATTTCAAAGTTTTTTAAATTAAAAAAATTTTAAAAATTGTCAAAACATTTTGAAATTTTCTTTTAATGCTAAAATGATAATTAATAGCTTGACACTTTTATGATTTTTTTTACATGTGTTATTATTTTATTGTTTATTGACGTCACGTTAGTAAGTTGTTTAATAGTGATAGTCTAAAGTATCAAAATAAATGATAAAATAAAATTTTAAAAATGAAACTAATAATTTTATTTTTTTTAACATTAAACTACAAAAAATATATAATACATAAACTCTTTTTATATTTAACCTTCATCATTTATCGATACCTAAAATTTAAGTAGATGTGATAATATTTTTAGAATTAGGTGGGTTGAATTGATTGTTTAAACTTAATAATTTGATATATAATACAATAAAAATGATATACAAATAATATAAAAAGGATATGAAAATAATAAAATTTAAAATTTTATAAAAAATTATATATAAATTTAAAAAATAAACAAAATATTTAATATTTTTATATTAATATAAATTATAATAAATAATTTTTATATAAAATATGAAATGAATTATTAATTTTTTATATGAAATTATTATACAGATAAATTATTTTCATGGTGAAAATAGGGTAGAATTTGAAAAGAAATATGGTCCAGAGGGGTACTGAAACCAAATTAACTGTCAACCTAAAGAAGCTCTTTTTCCTTGGACAACGATGGTTATCTTTACATTCCACTTTCCACTGTGTCATCTCGTCAGAATTTAGAAATTAGAATTCCTACTACCGACCCCATCCACTAATGGGCATTTGGGTACTTTACGAAACCATAACAATCTGACACGTGTCCTTTGAGGTTCAACTCTAGTCTACCCTGCTAGATTGGATGCCGGCCATAAGAGAAAAAGGAGTTTATATAAGGACATTTCATTTTTCCACTCCACTTAAAAATGTAAACACATGATTGTTCGGATCACATGATAATGTTATAGATGACGACAACACGAAACAAAATTGATAAAAAATTTTAAATGATTAAAATTTTCACAAATTTTTTATATAAATTTTATAAAATAAAAAATATTTTTTAACATATCAATATAAATTATAATGTAATAATTTTTATAAGATATATTTGATTAAAATAGATTCATTATAAACACAAATTTTTTTAATTCGTGTTTGATTTAATTTGTGAACATATTTAATAATAAATAAGTCATTTTTATTTAATTTTAATTTAAAAATATATAATATTTAACTATTAATATAAATTTTACATTTTAATAATAAATTCAAATTAAATAATTTTAAATAAATTTTATTTATGAGCTCGATCGAACTTTGAACAAATATTTTAAGGTACTCAACCTTAAAAACCTTTGCCAAAAACTTAATTCTCCAATGTTTCTTGACATCGTTTCTATCCCATATTAGTAGTGTTTTTCTTCATCAACTTAAAAAATTAATGTCCTTCCTCTCCTGTTATTTATTTTGGTGCGAGGAAAAAGAATTCCTATTCCCATCCCAATTATTATTTATTTTGAACCACTTCCTTTATTTTAATGTCATTTTGTCTTTAAAGTTCGTATTTTATATTTTACCTAAAAATTATGGCTTTTACTTATTTTTAAAACTGGTATAGTTTGAAGGGAAAATAAAAAATAAACATATTATTATTTTGATTATTATAAATAATGGATTTAATCTTCAAACCTCCAATGAAAAAAATAAAAACACAACAAAAATTTTGAAAAAGTAGAGAGAGAAAGAGAGTTATTCATGACTTTAGTAAAGGCAAAATTGTACTAGATAGGTTAATTTTAGCATAATACAATTAAAAATATTAGAAAAAATTTGTAAAGCAACACAATTTAAAACTAATAAAAATTATATATATTTTGTATTTAATATATTAATATAAATTACACTTCTTTAGAGAGAGAGTTTTTGCGTTTAAGTGAGTGAGAGAAAAACAGAAAAGGAAAAGAAAAAGGAGATCCAACAAATACAAGACATCAACAAAACCTTTCTCCTAATCATTCCAGGAAAAAAAATTATAAAGATACAGAGAGAAAGAGAATCAAAGCTGAGATTTTTGTTTCCTCAGACGATAGTTAAGGTTGTTGCATCTTTTGTTTAAGGTGAAAGGAGATTAGGGTTTATGTGAAGGTGGAGTTTGCTTGAAAAAAGAGGTTTTGAAGGGTTGTTTTTGTTTGTTATGGTTTTTAAGAATTTGGATTTTGTTTTTTTGGCCAGAAGGGGCTTTGGTGTAATGATTTGGGGCTTTGAATAGTATCAAGGTCGTTTGTTGGAAAAGTGAAAGTAAGTATTTAAATGAGAGATTTTGAAGGTTAATCTAATTGTAGAAGGAATTGAAGGAGAAGCATTTTCTAGGTGTTTCTTTGAGTTTATATGAATTGTTGGATTTTGTTGGCGTTGTAAGGTTTTTGGGAGGAAGATTTTGGGTTAGTTATAGTGTAAAAGTTAATTTCTTGCTTTACCATTCGATCTGTGAGCTGGAGCGACTAGGAGTACCCGGGACGATGTCTTCCTTAAGTAGGGAGACGGTGTTTTTGATCTTACAGTTCCTGAATGAGGAAAAGTTCAAGGAAACTGTTCATAAGTAAGTTTATTTACCTCATTTTGCTGTACTGGTTCATATCAACTTTCTTTTTGGCTGTTGAGTTAGCATGGAAGGGTGATGGCACAAGAGTTTTTAAGCCTATTGCTGAAAGAGGGAAAAACTTATTTCTGTTCTGTTATTTTATCTAATGAGACCTGGTAGTTAATGCCTTTTGGGTTGCAAATGGCAAGCAATCATGGAAATTTGGTTAGCATTGTAGAAATGTGCTTTATTAGTTCTTCCCAAAGCTAAAATTGCATTAATTTTACTTCTGGAAAGCAAATAAAATAACCTTTCCGTGCTTTTAAATAGCTTATTGGTAATTTGTAACTTTGCTGCTTTCTATTTTTTCTTAGCAACTTTGATAGGCTTAAGTTTATTGACTTTGAATAGATTTCTAATCCCTGCTTTTGCATGTGATTCTTATTTCTTTCTGGTGTCTGCTTTTGCATGTGACTCTCTGATGGCTTGCTTAAATTTCAGGTTAGAACAAGAGTCTGGTTTTTTCTTCAATATGAAATATTTTGAGGATCAGGTCCAGGCTGGTGAATGGGATGAAGTCGAGCGTTATCTATGTGGGTTCACTAAGGTTGAAGATAACCGTTACTCAATGAAGATTTTCTTTGAAATTAGGAAGCAGAAGTATTTGGAAGCTCTTGACAGGTTAGCACTTGATGTACTGTTGTTAGTCTCTTTATTGTGAACTTGTAGGATTATGGAACTATGTGCTTCTTGTCATTTTTAACTTAAATCCTAAGTGACTGATGTCAAAGGAACACTTTATATACTATAGAATAATGGAGGTAGCTTTTCTTGAATACTTCATGAAGATGTTTCAGCCTGATGCAGAATTGGCTTTCATTATGTGGTTTTCTGTCGTGGTTCTTTCTTAATGTTGAATTAATCTATGCATGCCTTTTATATTTATTGTTCTGTTATCTTCTACCAGGCAGGATCGAGCAAAGGCTGTTGAAATTCTTGTAAAGGATCTGAAGCTTTTTGCATTCTATAATGAAGAACTTTTCGAGGAGATTACCCAGTTGCTCACTCTTGATAACTTTAGGCATGATCTCTTGCTTTCTTTTTGTTTTTGACAGCTACTTAATTGAATTATGCTAAATTTTGCTCTTTGTATTCTGTCATCAGGCAAAATGAACAGCTTTCAAAATATGGAGACACGAAATCTGCTCGAAATATCATGCTTGTAGAGCTTAAGAGGCTGATTGAAGTAAATCCTTTATTTCGCGATAAGCTTGTGTTCCCAGCTTTTAAAAATTCACGACTAAGGACCTTAATAAACCAGGGGTAATTCATTACTTATTCTATGATTATTTACTAATTCTTGGTCAGTATTCTTTGGTTCAATCTTTTCTTCTTTCGTACCTTATGAAAACAAAGTCTGGGGTTTGCCAATGTGTCTCTGTTAATAACTTGTTACTTATACGATGTGCATATAGGGCAATTGATACAATCGAATTTGGATTGGTAGCTAACCTTAATGTATGTATTTTAGCTCATTTTCTCTGTTGGATTTTTCAGTCTAAACTGGCAGCATCAACTTTGCAAGAATCCTCATCCAAACCCTGACATTAAAACTCTCTTTATGGATCATTCTTGTTCTCCTACTACTAATGGGGCTCCTCCTCCTCCTCCTACTAACAGTCCCCTTGTCGGACCAATTCCCAAGCCTGGGGCATTCCCTCCTATTGGTGTCCATGCTGTAAGAATTTAGCATTAATTTATTTATCTGATAGAAAATATATGCAGCATTCTCAAATAATTCTTGGATGGCTCTGATGTGCAGCCATTTCAGCCTGTAGTTTCCCCGACTTCTGGTGCTTTAGTGGGTTGGATGTCAAGTGGTAATCCTTCTTTACCTCATGCAGCAGCTATGGCAGCAGGCCCCCCTCGTCTTGTCCAGCCTTCTAATGCAGGTAGGTGCAATGTAGCTGGCTTTTGGTGTCTCTGTTGGAATAATGTTTCAGTAAACTTGCTCTACTTGATCTGTTTTGCCCTGATGTTTCAGCTGCATTCCTCATGCATCCAAGGACACCATCAGGTCTGCCAGGGATGGATTATCAGTCAGCTGATTCAGAGCATTTGATGAAGTGCATTCACAATGGCCAATCTGATGAGGTGTGGATAAATTGTGCAATTCCTTAGTTATCTTGGGTTTCCTCAGTTTTTTTCTTTAGATGAGATTAGTTCTCAAACCTTCTAGCTGGGACATGCTCTGCATTTCCTTGTGTTGTGTCTAGGGGTATGATTTTTTTTTTCCTTGTGTAAATACAGCGAGTAAGCTCACATATGGATTCTGCAGGTATATTTTTCTGGTATAGCACATACTCCCAATATCTACTCACAAGACGACCTTCCAAAAACTGTTGTGCGGGCCCTTAATCAAGGATCTATTGTCATGAGCATGGACTTTCATCCTCAACAACAAACTATTCTCCTAGGTTGATATATATTTTTCTTAATATCACTTTGCTATGAAAATTCTGGGCAAATTTTAGTTCACATTTATTGCTTATTTATTGATATATTTTCTTTTTTTTCAGTTGGCACGAATGTTGGTGATATCAGCCTTTGGGAAGTAGGATCTCGGGAAAGGTTGGCCCATAAACTGTTCAAGGTTTGGGATATCTCAGCTGGTTCCATGTCTTTTCAGGTACTGTATCCTGTGGTATTGCCAATTTTTCCTTCGTGGCTAGGGGATCTAGTTGATAAAATTATCCCCTGCCATCATGTAAAACATTGATAAAAATGGGGTTGGAAATTGAGAATAAACATCCTCCTACATGCTCACCCATACACCCAAACCTGTAAAAATCTCTTTGGCTGAGTGCTGATCTTTCTTCTTTATTCTACACCAGACAGCGCAATTGAATGATGCTGTGATATCAGTCAATCGATGTGTTTGGGCACCAGATGGACATATGCTTGGTATGCTTGCCTAACTTTTCTGTTCAAAACTTAAATACTGTTTGATCTACCTGTCTTCGCCTTCTTGAAGTTGCTTTTATCTGTTCTTGAATTAAATATTCCTTTCTATAGGTGTTGCATTTTCGAAGCATATTGTCCAGATATATCATTACAATCCAACTGGAGAATTAAGACAGCATTTGGAGGTAAGCCCATCACAACACATCAAATATCTCTTGAGAATCATGACAGATAAGGTCATTAACAACCTATTATATTTTGTAGATTGATGCCCATGTTGGAGGTGTTAATGACATAGCGTTTGCTCATCCCAACAAGCAATTATGTATTGTTACATGTGGCGATGATAAGCTGATTAAGGTATCAACTTTTGGCTTGGTTTAGTTTTTGTAAATTGAAGAAGAATTGGTTTTTTCATATTGAAGTTCCATGTTTGGCAGGTATGGGACACTGTAGCTGGATGTATACATTATACATTTGAAGGCCATGAAGCTCCTGTATATTCTCTTTGCCCTATTGTAAAGAAAATATTCAGGTAAACCTCATTTAGAAATTGTTGTTAGCTTTGTACTCTTTGTTTTCTGCTTCTAGGTATTCTCTCATGGTTGGTCTGCAGAATTTTAGCCTTTCTTTTGAAAATTTTCATTTCTCATTCTCATAATATTTTCGAACTCTTTTTGTATGAACAGTTTATCTTTTCCACCGCCATTGATGGGAAGATTAAAGCGTGGTTGTATGATTGCTTGGGATCTAGAGTGGACTATAATGCTCCTGGACATTGGTGCACGACAATGGCATATAGTGCTGATGGAACTAGGTAAAAATGTTAATTTGTTGGAGAGATGGCAGTTTGTTTGAATTTATTTGGAAGTCTTGGTATGTTTCCATATCATATTTACATAATTATGCATTGAAATGTTGGCATTTATATGCATCAAATCTCTTTCAAATTAAGGAGATTGCAGCTTATTTTCCCATGGTTCATCTTGCCGTCAGAAGTAGTCTATATGAGATGGTGTCTGATTTTTGTTTTAAGCATAATTTTGATGTTATTTATGTGCAAGCTTGATATGTAATTATGTATAAGAATTATGTGTATGCATATATGAACAAAAAACTTAGATTTTTTCTTGCAGGCTCTTCTCTTGTGGAACCAGTGAAGATGGCGAATCCTATTTAATTGAGTGGAGTGAGAGTGAGGTAGCTATCAAAAGAGCATATTCTGGTTTTAGGAAGCGTTCTTTAGGTGTTGTCCAGTTTGACACAACCAGAAACAGGTTCTTAGCAGCTGGTGATGAATTCCAGATTAAGTTCTGGGACATGGATAATACTACCATGTTGATGGCCGTTGATGCTGATGGCGGGTTGCCTGTTAGTATTGCTACATGTTCTTTTCATTAGTAGTTAAGTTGCAGATGTTGCAATTATCCATTCTAATCATTTTACAGGCTAGTCCCAGACTAAGATTCAACAAGGAAGGTTCATTGTTGGCAGTTACAACTAGTGATAATGGTATCAAAATCTTGGCTAACAGTGATGGTTCACGCCTGATAAGGATGTTGGAGAGCAGGGCTGCTGATAAAAATCGAGGTCCTTCTGAACCTGCCAACTCTAAGGTAGTTTTGTGCTTGGATTGAATTATTCCTTAAATTTGGCAATTGGCTTGTCTAAATAATGTCTTGTAAAATCATGCCTTCGTAAGAAGTAAAAGATAAATAATGTCTGGTAAAATCATTCTCTTGTAAGAAGTAAACCATCATTAGAACCGCATGCCCTGTTGGCTTGGTAGTTAACTTGCTAGGAGACATTGCTTAGAGTGGGGAAGACCGTCTTAAAAGACAAAAGTCAGAATTTTAATGTAGAAGGTATGATTTTAGCAGTTTATTGAATGAGGAACTGTTTGTTGTGTGCTTTTGGTGAATCTGTTGGTTGCTTATTGTGCAATTTTGTTTATAAAATGTTCAGGTTGCTTTATCTTTTGTGGTTTGAGTTTTGGCTAGTGGTGGTCCATGCATGGATCTTTTCTGTTATAATGACCTTAAACAAAGACAGTTTTTCCATTCATGATTCTTTCAATTCTTTACAATAGGGCCAGTATATCCTGAGTTTAAGGATGGGTTTTTAATTACTGCTATTTTATAAAGCATTAATGAGTAACATATGATATTTGTTTGACCAAACAAGATCCAGGAGTATAGCAAAATTTACTCATTTTTGGTGTTATTACAGCTTAAGGAAGGCTCTTGATTCTTTAGATACAAATGGCTATATATTTCTCTGTAACTTTATCTTTGCTGAACTGTTCAGTGTCACATTAGACAGCTGTTTCTGGATGGTATATTTTTCTATATTTTCTCATATCTTTTATGGTCTTCTCTACATGTCTTTTTAATGAATATTCTTTCTATGTTGCTAATAATTTAATGTTCCTTATTTCACTTGTTTTGGACAATGTTTTCTGCAGCCATTGAATATTAATGCTCTTGGTCCTGTGGGGAATGCTGCCATTGCTCCTGTGGGGAATGCTGCCATTGCTTCAGCCCTTGAACGCCCAGATAGAGTCCCTCCTGCTGTATGTATCAGCAGTCTCATAAGTTGAGCTGTTTCAGTTGCATTCTATCTTTGGTGTTAAAGGAGCTCCTAATTTCATTTGGATGTCCATTGCAGGGTACCGTGGACAGCTGCATGCTTGTTGATGGTAAACCTCGGATTTCAGATGATACAGACAAGATCAAGGGCTGGAGAATGCCTGACATTATAGATCCATTTTACCTGAAAATCCTGCGAATACCTGATGCCATAATATCAGGAAAAGTAGGTGCTTGAAGCATGTGATTGGTTTTTGGATTTTAGTGCATTGTTGGTTTGGAAGCAAATATACTTGCATGATAGCAATGTTGTCTTCTTTCCTTAGTGGTTTAATTTGAAATTTTATTTGTGGGTGGTTATCCTTTTGAATAGGGCTTTGGATGAGATATTTTACTGCATTTGAATTTCGCACCTAATGCAATATCTCATTCAAGCCAGATTCAAATGAATAAATAACTGCAAATAAATTTGTTTTGCCCAATGCATCATAAGATTTTTTTTATAGTATGCTAACTTTGTTCAATGATACAAAACAGGGTTTTTTTTTTTCATCCTCTCTCTAAACCTGTCTTGATAATAGCACCTTCATTCAGGAAATAGCCAAAAAGTAAAATCTTACCAAAGATCTCAAGAGTATATTATTTGTTTCTGAAATACAAATGTCCTGGGTTGGGATACAGTTGCTGGCTGAAATTAATTTTATTGTGGTGTAATTGGTTTTACTTTTTCTTTTGGTGCAAAAAAGTGCAGCAAACGTTTATTTTATTGTGCTACATATTTAATGTGTTTTGCAAAAATCAGCAATGTTTTATGCTTGCTTGAGAGAGGAGTTTTTCCCCCCTGATGCATGCAAAGGATCTGATTTTTGATAAAAGTATTTGGTAGGGGAACATATATGGTTGTTTGCTATTAATTGAATCTGTAAAAGAGATGATAGAAGCATATTTGAAAGCATACTAATTTGAATTTTTTTTCTTTTGAATTCGTTTCCTTTTCCATGCATATTTAGCCTGTTGTTACATCTGTTTCATGCATAAAGAGCTAGAGGTAGGGACTTTCTTGTGGGAGCTTAAGTAACTATTGAAGATATAATCTTGCTGTAACCTAAAAAGGCAATTAGGTAGCCCAATATAGGAAGAACAATGGAGTACTGGTTCATCTTTTCATTGTACACTTACAAAAACACATGCACATGGATAATACCGACACACATCGTATAATTTTTTTTTAAAGTTTGATTGTGAATATATTTGATATATTCATTGTTTTGTATTATTCTACTTAGTTCAGTATTGAGAAATTAAGATCAGAGGGTAGTGTAGCTATCTATATGCGTTCATATGTTTTACATATGCAAAAACTTGGTGCATTCAGAGACCTAATTGTTCAATTTTTTTATCCAACTTTTAGATTTTTCTAGGCCCATGATTTAGGGTTAGCAATCCTTAATTGCAGGTTGTGAGGCTGCTGTATACTAACTCTGGTCTTGCTCTTTTGGCCCTCGCATCAAATGCTGTTCACAAGCTTTGGAAATGGCCATGTAGTGATAGGAGTCCATTAGGCAAGGTTTGTCTTGTGTCATTAAATGAGAAAATCTGTATCTCTTAATCATTAACTTTTATTTTCTAATAGTTCTCCATCTCTAATACTTCAGGCTACTGTATATGTTGCACCACAATTATGGCAGCCACCTAGTGGTACTCTGATGACGAATGATATAAGTGACACTAAACCTCCGGAAGAGTCTGCTGCATGCATTGCGTTATCTAAAAATGATTCTCATGTTATGTCTGCATCGGGAGGGAAGGTGTCCTTGTTCAACATGATGACATTCAAGGTCTACAATTACTTTTCACTTGTTTTCTGAACTGTTCTCCTTATTGTTTGTGTTCATTGAAATTATCCACGTTACTCACGTGGGTTAATTCTTCACAGGTTATGGCAACCTTTATGTCCCCTCCTCCTGCGGCCACATTCTTGGCATTTCATCCCCAAGATAATAATATTATTGCTATTGGCATGGAAGATTCCACAATTCAAATTTATAATGTCAGAGTTGATGAGGTGAAGCATTTTTTAGCTTCAATTGGCAATAGAAACTACTTTGTTTGTATATATGGTCAGTTAGGACAACTTTGTTAAAGTAGGAGAATACTAATTTCTTGCATTTACCAAACCAATTATTTTCTATTTTTCTTAGAATTTATTATTTGTTACTAAATTTGAACACTATTTTATCATTATATGGCTCCATGCTTATGCCTAATTGGTCTAGCTTATCATCATTTGGAATTATTTAGTGTGTCAACATTTTATATGCATCCTAATGACCATGATTGCAAGTTAACTTGGAATGCTAGAATCATTCTGGCACATGTAGCAGAGTCGGTGGCTTCTTGTTTACCTCCATCTGTCCCCTTTGCATGCATAGAACACAAGAAAGAAAATTAAAAAATAGGTTTTTGATGAAAGTCATTAGAATCATTTGATCATTAAGTGGACAAGGGAAAATCTTATAGTGGCCTTTTTTCTGGAATGGAAAGACTAAGATATTCCTTGAGAAACTAAAACTCATTATAGCATCTCCTTGATTAAGCTCTTTGGTTTGACATTTAGCTCTGGAAGCATATTTAGGCTGTTGTTTTTGGCAGGTCAAAACCAAACTCAAGGGCCACAAGAATTGGATAACAGGACTTGCCTTTTCCCAAAGTTTAAATTCTCTGGTGTCTTCAGGGGCTGATGCACTGGTTAGTTTCTGATTGAATGAATATCATATGATGCAACTTTCGTAGATGTAGTGGTAATTTTATGTGTCCTTGTATAAAGTGTCTTTTAACTGTTCCACTGAATTCAAACAATCATAACTTAAAACAAGCAATCCATTTGGGAAATCATGAACTGTATTTAAAACAAAAAGGCAACGCATGTTAACAAATGACAACTGTCAATTGTATAATTTTCTTATACATAATTTAACCGAATAATTTGTTGTTTGCTGTGACTTTTATTTCACTTGCAGTTATGTGTTTGGAGCATTGAGGGATGGGAGAAAAAGAAATCGAGGTTCATACAGGCACCAGCTGTATGTCAATCTCCACTAGCAGGAGAAACAAAAGTCCAGTTTCACAATGACCAAACTCATCTATTGGTTGTTCATGAAAGCCAAATAGCCGTCTATGACAGCGAGCTTGAATGTTTGCGCTCTGTAAGTTGTCTACCTGGCATCATTTTCCTTGTATTGTAGTTTTTCAATATATATATATATATATATATATATTTGTGACTATTATAAGAACATGACTGATGTGGGGAATAAACGTAAGGCAAACATCAGTTATTACTATTATTGGGTCGTATCTGGCCTGAAATTCCCAAGTTGATTTGTGCTCCAACAATATTGGCTTATATAAGCCTATTATGGCTTGATCCCTTTGTATGATTTGTGCTTGCTTTTGAGAAAGTAGGTTATTATCATCATTATATGATTTTCTACCTCAAAAAAGAATGATCAATAATGTGATACCTGTTACTTCTTTGAGTACCATTGGCTACAAGAGGAAGAAAATGAAGAGTGTTTTTTCCAGATGTGGTTACAAGAGGGATATGAACCATGACTGGCCTCCCTAACAATAGTGAAAGTGGGTGCCAGAAATCCCACATTGTTCTTTTCTGGACCCTAAGATAATATTTTCTTTTAAACATTATACCATCCAGCCAGATGAATGCTAGTGCCACGTGTTACCATGCAGTGGTATCTATCTTCAAAGAAAATACTGCAACAGCTTGTCAAATGATGCTGTTAATCTGGTTGCTAAATTCATGAAAACACTGCCAGATGCTGATACCAGCACTTAGAATAAATTTCCAGCTGACTTGAGTCTATGATTAAACATGAATAGTTTGTAATAATTTAATTGCATCAGCTTAGCCAATATTGAGTTAGAATCATGCTGTAATCATAAAATTGTTACCTGTTTGAAATATGATAGAACATAAGTTTTGAACTAGGGAGTTCTGGTAGTTTTAGGTGGTCTGGTCCCGCATCAATAAGTAGGCTTTGTAGTGGCCTTCTATTTAGTTAACTCGGCCAGAGCATGACCTGTTTCTTTCTTAAACTTGTCTGACAGAATGACCTATTGCTCTGGAAAAATCATTCCTGGCGTTATGGCCGATTTGTCAAGCAAATGGTCATTTGCTAGTGGAATGTTTTAGTTAAATGAAGATTTTTTGGAACCTTGATAGAGTTTTGACTATAACATAATGGTTGCTAGATTTTAGCATTGGCTATGCATGTTAAATTATTTTATATATATATATGTTGTCTTTAGTTTCTTTTTCTTTTGACAGGATTGTTTTATTTATTTTTTTGATATAGATATTTAGAAATGTCCCGACAGTGATTTTATATTCAGTTACACTGACCCTCATTGTTGCAGTGGTTTCCAAAAGATCCACTCAGTGCTCCCATTTCAAGTGCAATATATTCCTGCGATGGCTCACTGATTTATGCTGGTTTTTGTGATGGTGCTATTGGAGTTTTTGATTCGGATAACTTGAGGCTCAGAAGTCGAATAGCGCCCTCTGCTTACATACCTTCACTCTCTGACAGGTAAGAGCATGAACATTTGATAATTTTACACAAAAAAGTTCAAATGTTTCTGCATACGACAGGTAAACGCGGTTTGAACTTTACATCCATTGACAAAAACTTTCTTCAGCAGCAACAGTGCATATGTGGTGGTCATAGCTGCTCACCCATCGGAGCCTAACCAGATTGCGCTAGGCATGAGCGATGGAGCAGTAAATGTGTTGGAACCCTCTGATATAGAATTGGAATGAGGTAATACAACTACTCAAGAGAATGGATCCCTTCCTTCAAGTTCATCGAATCCATCCTTAAGTGGTCAACCAACAGAGCTACCTTCAAGGTGATAGATAGTGGTGTAGATATTAAGTATGGAGAGACGTATACGAGTGGTAGTGATTGGATTTAACCTCTTTACTTTGAAATCAATTGCCTTAAATCTCACTACCAAGTCCCATCCCATGTTATATGATATTCAGTGTAAAAGTTTTTTGAGTTCTGAAGCTAAAGTCTGATCTGATTGATAAGAAAAATATGGAAAGATTTTAACTCACTTATTTGAATGAATTGGGTTTTTGCCGATCAACAAAATTTGAAGAGAAAGAAAGCAACTTTTTCTATGGTTTTATTGTATTTCATTTTGTTTTAATAGGTTAGATGCATGTGTTAGATATTATGACCTACATATTATTTAACTAGCAATCAGAGCCCAGTTTCTTATATTAATTTATAATATTTTATTGAATTAATATTTGATTGAGTTAGAAATTAAGATTAATATATGCAATTAACATAAAATAATAATTTAAAAGAAAGTTGAAAGCTTTCTTAAAACAAATGTAAAAACAGACTAATTTCTAGCAGGTTATTTCTAAAAGTCTGCCTATCGAAAGTAAAAAATTTTTTTATCTTCCAATAGCTCATAAGAATATGTGTTCAAAAGGTATACGCATTCATCCAACTATAATATCAATCAATAATCATAGAACAAATCATTGTCCTGCATATTGTCTACAGCTGAAACTACATGTGCATGGCATAACACAAAAGGCCATTGATCTTGAGCTTCATAATCATCATCATCCACAAAGCATTGCCATTCATCAAAATGGGCTGACATGTCAGCATCCAAGGTGAAATATAGGATACCTTGAACAGAGTCCATAGTGTAATTTAGTTTGAAAGAAACCACCTTAACACCTTTTGATTTAAGTACATGAATAACCTGGTTTTAGAATAATTAGACCTTAAGTTTTATATTATACTAAAGTTTTCTCTAAGCAAAAATAGAATATTGCAGTTCAATCAATTAAAAAAAAAGATGGCACCCTCCTTGTCAGCATCTTCAAGATAACCAACTGTAAGCTTTGTGATGTCAACTAAGAATGAGTCATCAAAGAGAATGTCTCTTGATGAATAATCATTTGGATCTTTCCCTCTGATGGAATCTAAAACAATTGCACAATCCTTAGCATTTCTACATAATGGATCAAGCTTTGTTATTGAAATGTTACTCTTAAAGCAGAAACTGGTGGCTGGATACTACTTTAACTCAAAGGGGATGTCTTCTATCTGGTGATATTATCAAGCTTTCTGATATTACCAAGCTTTGTGATATGCTCATTACACCAATGATATTACCAAGAAATTTACCAGGTATTACACATGCATCTTTCAAAGTTTCTTTGAGGTTTTGTTAAAAAGAGCCGACCATAATTGGTTGGCAATTAGCACATTTCCATATTATTTAATGTGCAAAACATCACTATGAGCTGGCGACCATATAAATTACCTAAGATAGTGTTTTGGATGTTCGAAAAAGCAATTAATTTAAACAGAAAGAATTGAATTTATTTCCAAATAGCCAAAGTCAAAAGAATTCCATTTGGTTCTGGTTCTAAACAGAACCTAAATTCTTTACAATTGTCTAGAATTACTTCCATTCCTAGACTTTTAACCAAGCTGGGAAAAGAGAAAAAAAATCCAGTTATGTTATTAATTACCATGGAAAGACCCAATAGAACCTAAACAGCAAAACCTAAATATCAAAAGTAACATTCAAATAGAACATAAATAAATTGAAATACATAACAATTAGGATAACATACCCCATGGGAACTCCTTGTTGCAAATGTGTAGATATGGGTACGTTGCAAACATTCACATAACATATGGCATCCAACAATCAGTTATGAAAAAAAGTGCAAACATAGCTATACAAATAAGAACAGTACTTAAAAAAAATAAAATTGAACAAAAGGAATTTAAGCTTATAGGAAGAGGTTTTCAGGATGCGGATGACTCTTTGATAGGTTATAAATCGCTAAAACAGTGCAGGTAGCAATGCTTAAATATGTTATCTACTCTCATTTCATGTTTCATTTGAAAAAATATATAAATTAATGTTGAAGCTCTGATTTTTTAAAGCAGTATGGATTTTTAACTATAAGAATTTTTTTTTTTTTAGGTTCCAAATTTCAACCTTTTTTTATAATCTAAATTCGATTTTAGTTCTTCTATGTCTAAGAGAGAATTGATCAAAATCTCAAGGGTAAACTAAACAATAAAACCCTAACATACCGAACAACGAAAAAAAATCAATATATATGCATTCAAACAGATGAATAAAAGAAAATCGATTCAAACTGGATACAAAAATTTAAAATTTGTAAGAAGAAACGAAAAATAAAAAGAAAGAGAAAATGTTGCATACAAGCATAGTCGTGATGAGAAGAAGAGTCGAAGCCTCTCTTGGGAGGAGCAAAAGGATGAGATCTGTTGCGAAGGGCAGTTTGGAGGAGACCAGATCGTTTTCTCACCATTGCCATTTTTGTTCAATTTTTCTCTATTGAAAGTAAGGGTGTAATCGATCAAGTTTGAAATGATATAGTATTATGCTCGAGCTCGAACTCGACTCCAAATTTATGACTTAAACTTGACTTGAATTCGATCGAGTTTTTTTTTTAGCTCGAGCTTGATTTGAGATAAAAATCGAGGTATTCGAGCTCGCTCGATTAGCTTCAATTAACATGTAAAAATAAGTTTAATTCTTATATTTGATAAAAGTTCGATTATTTTTGCTTAAACTTGAACTCAAGTTCGAAATATTTTATCAATTAAAATAATTAAATATATTAAAATATAAAAGTTCAATTAGGCTTGTGAACAATTCGAATCGGGTATAAGAATGCTTAAACTTAACTTGATCGATAAATCAAGTTACTTGAGATTAAGCTCGATTCAATAATAATTGAATCAAATTTAAATTTTATTTGAATCGAATCTGAGTAATTTACGAGTATTAATATATTATTCATACCCTTAATTGAAAGGTAATGGGAAAGCCCTTATTTTACTCTTCAACAAAGCTCCTAAGAAATTTTAAAAGATAGATGTAATACCTAGCAAACACAAAAGAAAATAAAAGCCACTTGTTAACTTGCAAAGCACAAAATAGCCACATGTGAACATACAAAGCAAAACATTAAAAAAAAAAAAATACATGTATCATGAGGATCCTCAAGGGATCTTTTTTATATAAGGTATATAGATTTAAGTGTATATACGTTTGTTCATGGTTTAATAAACTTAAGTAATTAAGTTAAATTTATTGAATGTTATTAAAGATGATCAATTAAAACAAAGGTTTTGTTTAATAAATGAATGTAAACAAAGTTTTTGATTAATAAATGTAATTAAAATAAAAGAATTTTAATTATAATGAATAAGAGTTTTATTTTATTTAAGAAACAATTAATGAATGTACTTAAAACAAAAGAAAATTTTTGTTTAAAATTTATACAGTAATGGAATGTATGAATTAATGTCATTAATGAATAAAGAAATCACATCACTCTCTCTATCTATAAATTGATACATTTTATTCATCAAGAATGCATGTTAAGTCAAAGGGTCAAGAGAGAGAGAAAAAATTATAAAGCACCATTTCTAAATAAAAAAAAAAAATTAGGACTTGGAATAGTTGATAATATTGCCAAGCCACTGAAAATTTATTGTGATATTGTTGCAACAGTCTTCTTTTCTAAAGACAACAAGTATTCAAAATGTGCTAAACACATGAAATTAAAATATTTTACTACTAAAAAAGTTCAAAAACAAACAAAGAGTGTCAATTAAACACATTAGCATCAAGCTTATGGTTGCAGATTCGTTAACAAAAGATTTGCCACTAAAGACATTTAATGAACATGTTGAAAGAATGTGCATTATTGAAAATCATTATTAACATTATGGTAACGTTTTATTTTATTTTATTTTATGAATTTGACACTTTGAACTCTTTTAAATATTGTTTTTAACATATTAATGCATCATGTTCTATTATGTTAGTGTATATACATAATTGAATTATGTGAATAAAAATGGGATTTGTCTCTAACAAGGATATTATTGTTATAACATTATGACATCTCTTATTAATGTAATGTTGGGTATAGAGCTAATAATGTGATACATTGGAGGGACTATGTTGAGCTAATGATATACAACCGCTATAATTTTTATTAGTTTTTATTTAATGATGATTTATGATTTCATCAACTTAAGAAATGACTTAACTTATATCTACACATTATGTTTATTATTAAACCATAAAGTTCAATAATATTATGTAGGACAAGTGAAAGAATATTAGATATTATGGCCTACATGTTATTATTTAACTTAAGTACATAAACATTTATTTATGGTTTAATAAATTTAAGTAAATAAGTTAAGTTTATTGAAAGTTATTAAAGATGATCAATTAAAACAGAGGCTTTGTTTAATTAACGAATGTAAATAAAACTTTTACATAATAAATGTAATTAAAACAAAATAGTTTTAATTATATTGAATGAGAGTTTTGTTTTGTTAATGAAAAATTAATGAATATAGTTAAAACAAAAGAAAATTTTTTGTTTAAAATGTATATGTTAATGGAATGTATGAATTAATGACATTAATAAATAAAGAAATTGCTTCTCTTTCTCTCTCTGTGTCTATAAATTGATACATTTTATCTATCCGGAATGTGTTTTAAGTCAAAATGTCAAGAAAGGAAAAAACAAAAAAAAAAAGTATATAACATCATTTTTATATAAAAAAATAATTATAGATTAAGGTATGATTTCTTTTCAATTAAAAAATTTTAAAAATTATCATGTTCTAAGATCTTGGACATTAAAATTATGCAAAATTAAGATTCAAATTGCATAATAAAGTGACTTTGTTCAAAAGTGAGTTGGTTATGCATTTATGCATGTAGCATCTCACTCAATCATCACAATAAGTCTGAAGATATTCTTATTTGATGTTTAGAGGTAGTTGGCAATGGAGTATTATATATCCTCATTGTTATTTTGAAGCTCATAGAAAAAAATACCCATATATATATATTATATATTATATGAATAAACAGAAAAAAATACCTATATATATTATATATATGAATAAACAAAAAAAAACCTATATATATATATATATATATGAATAAATAGAAAGAATTGAAGAAACTCAAAACAGCTTAGCAGTCTAACAGTCATCCCACATCTCTCTCTCTCTATATATATATATATGACTTTCATTAAGTGAATTTAGAATAAGAATTTGGTTGGTTAAATATATAAATCAAATTACTCATAGAACACCTGACATCATACCCTAAATCACTCTAGCCCTTGCTTCTTGGTACTTATTATATCCCTAAAATTATCTGCATAATTAATTCATTATAATTAAATTAAAGGCCCGAAACATTAATTAATAGCAATTCAACTCAGCAGAATTATAAAATAATTAAACAAAAAAAATTTAATTTCATGCTAATTAAGGCCGTACCGTATGTTAATTTCTTATAAAACAACAAAGAATATATATTAATTCCTCAAGTTGTTGTCTAGAAATTAATTACATAATAATCAGAATCAAACTATCAAACTATATAAAAACTGGTTATGATTAGTAATTGACAGAACCCTAGCTCATCCATGTAATCTAATCCTGAAAACAAACGATCAATCTTTTTCTGATCATCGCTTTAAGGATTGCTCTCGCTTCTTGGGCCTTCTCAACCGCATCACAACTGGCAAGACTCGGATCTTTGCTGTATCCTCTTCAATCTCTGCTTTCGGAAGCGTAACCAACAAACGTCGCTTCTTTTCCTCCTTCTTCTTTGCTGCTTTCCTCGGCTGCGGAGAGTGATCATCGCTATTCTGATCATCAGGTTGATTAGGCTGATCATTCAGAGGCAAAGTGCTAGTGGATTCTTTGGGTATTGTTGTTGGTTCACCTTCAACCACCAGGGAGCCAATGGGATGATATTTTAGACGGATTTTTAACAGAGTCTTATTCTTGAGTTTATGATCCGAAGGCTTTTGGTTTGAAGGATGGGTAACAGAATCAGACATTATTTCATTGGAGAAAGACCACGAGCGTGGAAGTAACGAGAAAAGATTATTTCATTGGAGGAATACGACGACCATGGAGGCAACGAGAAGCGATGTAGATACTGAGAAAGCTTTGAGCATGCCATAGCTTTTGCCATAACTTTGTTTTTTTCACAATTAATGATATAAAGGAAGGAAGGAGCTGATGGGGTGAAATAATGTATACAGAGGTGAAATGCAAAATACTAGAGTGCTTCCCTACTTTGGGAAGGGATTTCTTTGAATATTGGGATGAAATATATAGTCCTAGAGTGGTTCCCTTGGCGAGGGATTTTTTTTTTATAATATTTATAATTTTTTATTAGAATTAATAATAAAAAACATTTTTAAATTAAAGAATATTATAAATAAAAGTAGTAATAATAAATTAAACATAATTATTTTAATTATTAATCTATAATGTTTTATTAGTGTATTAATATGAGAATAAATTTTTTTATTTAAATAAATTTTATTTTTAATAAATATTTAGTTTTTAGTATATCTTAGCATTAAATTGAAAGATATCGTTTGTCCTTAATTTCCAAGGCCAATTTCACGCTAAGTCTAACGGCTGCAGCATTAAATGATGGAAGTTGGTCGATCATCAAGTCTTCATAGTACAAATTGGAACAAACAGTGTCCAAATTTCTTTTCAGAGACTTAATCTTCAATTACATATGCTCATTGTTATTTTGAAGCTCATATATAATTATAGTAAATAAATAAAAAAATTTATAATCAAAGCACCTATATTTGAATAAACAAAAAGAATTGAAGAAACTCAAAGTAACCTAGTAAATCATCTTGCATCTTTTTATATATGTGACTTTAAATAAGTGAATGTAGCAGACGAATTTGGTTGGTTAAATATTAAAAACAAATTACTCGTTAAAACACCTCCCTAAATCACTCATCAACTTGCTAATTAAACAAGAATAGAATTGATAAGCTGCCTACTTGAACTCTAAAACCTTAAATTCTAAATTTTTATTAAACCCTAAACTCTGCCGCAAGTACTTGAATTACCAATGCAGCTCCAATCATCATTGTTAGTACTTATTATATCCCTAAAAACGTCTACATAATTAATTCATTATATTTCTATAAACAAAAAAAAAAAGGCCAGAAATATTAATTAATAGCATTTCAACTCGGTAAAATTATAAAATAATTAAGCAACAAAATCTTTAATTTCATGTTAATTAAGGCCTACAATATATTCATTGAACTGATTCATGCCTAAACTCAATTGTATCATGATCTATTATTGAGTTCAAGATATGAAATTCTAAAGTTTGCATTTTAATAAATTTAATATACTTGGACAATCACTAAAATTTAGAATGCAATAGTAAAATTCAATGAAATTAAAGTTCAATGGCAAAGTCGATACTCACCTATAATATAGAGGTAAGTGTATGACATAATATACTCCAACTACTAAAGTTTAAGACTATCTTAAAGCTCGAGAATTTAAATCTAATTTAAATCATGGAATAAAATATATGAGACGAGAGAAGACTACTCATTATGTAGGTAGACTAATATCTCTAGAGTAGTGATTTGTGGAATTGAGGCAGTGGCCTGGCGGGGGCGTTTGGCTCTCAGCACGTACCTGCGTTCCATGAAAGGTTATCTGGTCATTCACACCTATCCACACATCTTTCACAGCACCAAAGCAGCCACGCCACTTCACCCAACACAAACTCTTTCCTTAATTTTCTTTTATTTCGTTTCCAATTTCCAACCACTCTCTTCCCCTGCCTCTTGTTCTTATATCAAGTTCAAACCATGTCATCAGCTTTGGTTGCAGGTGCCTCTTCTTCTTGCTCTGCCGCCTTCACCAGCAGGAACCACTCTATCAAAGCTACCACAACCTCATCTCCCAAGGCATTCACACCTTTTACTTCCCAGGTATGAATGAAATGCGTCTGTCATCAGATCCTTTCAAAAGGCTTTTACTTCCATATCCCATTGACAGAAACCTCTCAGTTTTGTGACTTTTGTCCATGAATGTATAGAAAACCACAGTCCAAGGCCTGCCTCTTCAAGAGGCCAAAAAGGGTGCCTCGGGTTTCTTCCTAGCTGAGAGAAAGGGCACCTTCAGTTCCAGTCATGCAAGAAGAGGAATTGAGATCACTGCAAGAACTATAGAGGTCGAGGTTGACAAGCCCCTAGGCTTGACATTAGGTCAGAAGAAAGGAGGTGGTGTAGTTATTACTGCAAGTTTCAGATTCGGTGCTCCTTCCGACATCGATACCAGTCATGAGAGTGTTTTGAATTTCTTTTTTGTCAATTAAGGTTGCAGATGGACATTTATTCACCGTGGTTTTTTAATTGGATACAGGCTGCTGATGGGGTGGGAATGCAGCAAAAGCAAGGCTTAAGGCAGGGGATCAGGTACTTTATACTAGCAGTTTCTTTGGGGATGAACTTTGGCCTGCGGATAAGGTTGGATTTACTAAAACTGCCATACAGGCAAAGCCAGATTCTGTCTATTTTATAGTTAGCAGGTTTGCCTTCTTATCTAAATTTAACTTCTATGCTCTATTTTTCACTTCCTTTTGTTGTATTAGTTGCATAATTTTGATGAATGTATAGAGGAGAAAAAGTTGTTAATAATTTGATATCAATTCATGGTATAGTAAGCAAAATGCAACATTTCTTCTTTGTTGTGGGTTTTGGACCATAGATAAAAGGTCATATTTCTTTTGCATTGGAGGAAAAAAGCAATAGCATTATTGTACTGATGCAAATCCAATATGGTGGTGTTTTTTTTTTTTTTTCTGTTGCACTTTTGAGTTTTGACCATTCAACAAATTCCTTACTAATCAAGAAAAAAAAGGGGACATTGTCAGAGGGGTGAGGCAAACAAGGGTCCTTATCTTCATTTCTTCTTTTCTTTCCACAGTGGAAATATTGCTGCTAAACCTCCTTTAGAATTGTTTTCTTTTCTTGAAGAATATGAATGTTTTGCAATTAGAAGATATAAAATGACCGGTCACCTATAAAAGGAGACAAATTTGAAGTTTTGTGCTTTGTCCTGCTTCACAATTAGAGTGATTGAACATGTTTCTCCCTTCCAGATAATGGGTCTCATTGCTCATGTTTATTAAATGTTGGCTTATCAAGTAATATTCTTATTTTAATTATTGTTTGCCTCTTCTGCTTCAATTCTTTTTTTTTTTTTTAATTTATAGATGAAGAACTTCACCAAAGACTGACAACAAACTTGCCATCAGTTCTATCCGGTTACTAGAACACAACGATAAAATGTATTAGCGTTGTCAATGGTTTCAACTTGATGGGACTGATGTTTTTGGTGGATTTCATGACAGTATCAGATGAACTTCATGTATTTATTGCATGCTTAAATTCGTAGTGTTTATCTACGACTCTACCATGACCATCTACCATTAATTGAAAATACGTTTCATAAATAGCTTGTATAGCCTAAACAAATGTCCATTAAACTGATGTTATAATTAATAGAACCCTAACTCAGCAAGTAATCTAACCCTGGAAACAAACGATCAATCTTTTTCTGATCAACCTTCAAGGAGTGCTCTCGCTTCTTTGGCCTTCTCAACCGCTTCACACCTGCCAAGGCTTCGATCGCTGCTATGTCCTCTTCAATCTCTGCTTTCGGAAGCGTAACCGACAAACGTCGCATCTTTTCCTCCTTCTTTGCTGCTTTCCTCGGCTGAATACTATTCTGATCTTCAGGTTGATTAGTCTGATCATTCACAGGCAACGTGCTGGTGGATTCTTTGGATATTTTTGTTGGTTCACTTTCAACCGCGAGGGAGCCAATGGGATGATGTTTTAGACGGATCTTTAACACAATCTTATTCTTGGGTTTCTGATATGAAGGCTTTTGATTTGAAGGGTGGGTATCAGAATGAGAGATTATTTCGTTGAAGGAAGATGACAACGGTATAGGCTCAGACAAATTTGGAGACGCCATAGCTTTCTCTCTTCTGTATACGAGGAAGGAATTGATATACTAAAATTTTACTTGGCGATTATACATACCTCCACTATATATAGATTGTAATCTCTCATGAAATGTCAATTTTGCCCTTTCAATTTATGTTAATTGCTTGACATTTTGTCCAAAAGACCACAATACCCTTATTGTATTAAATGACAGAATTACCCTTCTTTGAAATGTTAAATTACTATAATATCCTTTCTTTCTTAAATGACAAAATTACTCCTTTTATAAATGTCAAACCACTATAATGCTTCTTATGCTTTAAATAACGAAAATACCTCTCTTATAAATAATGAATTATTATAATACTTTTATATTATATTAGAAAATATCTTTTATATTATAATCAACTAAAATTATTATAATATCTCTCTTGATATAATTATGAAAATGTTCCTACTACTATGATTGATCAAAATTATTATAATATCATTCTATCATAATTATGAAATTACCTTTCTACCAAAATTGGTTAAAATAACCATAATGCTTCTTATTATAATTACAAAAATATCTCTATGATTGCTTTATAAGAAATTGGCATGTATTATTTTATTTGAAAATTACTATAATATTCTATTTAATTTACTTATTAAATTTTAATATAATAATATAAAATTAATCATATATTAAATTATTAAAATACCCTTATAATCATTTCATAGAAATTTGATTTGTAGAATTTTATTTGAAAATTGTTATAATACACTTGTTAAATTAAATACATTAAATTTTAACATAATATAAGATTAAGTACATATTAAATTACTAATCTCATTGAGATTATCAAAATCCTACTATGGTTATTTGATTAAGAGTTGATATGTTTTGTAAATGATTATAATATTCTTTTATCATAATTATAAAAATATCTTTATTATCATAAATTGGTTAAATTATGATAATATCCCTCATAGTATAATTTGGCAAAATTACTATGAAGCCCTCACTACTATAATTATAAAAATACCCCTCCTAGCATAATTTTTCAAAATTATTATAATACCTTTCCTACTATAATTACAAAAATACTATAAGTGGTCAAATTTACTATAATACCATTTACCATAATTATGAAAATACCTTTTTAATTATTTCATAATTACATATTAAAATTTATCATCTATACAATAATGTGAAAGTAATTCTCTTGAAAATGATCATAATGCTTTTCTAATTACTTGACGATTGAACGACACGTGTCCAAAATGCCTCTCTTTCTATAATCAATTAAAATTGTTATAATGTTTCTCCTATTATAATTACTGAAATACTCTCCTACCATAATTAATTAAAATTACTATAATGCCCTTATAATCATAATTACAAGAATGCTCTCCTACTACATTAGCCGAAATTGCTATAATACCCCTCTTATCATAATAAAATTATTGGTTTTTTCCTTTAAAAAAATTAAATTAAATGGGTGATGATATTAGTGCCTTTAATTTCATTGGTAAATGAGTTTCAATTTGATACTTGATCGATAATGATAATAAGTAAGTACTGTATTGGTAGATTTTTTAAAATAAAAATTAAAATAGTTATACATTTTTTTATAAAAAAAACATTTACAATAAAAAGAAAAAAGATAAAAAGGACAATTGAACTAAAATTTAATAATCATCCAAGCCCTTATTATTGTTTTTAATCAATTAAATCTTTGAACATCTATTTTTATCAATTAAGTCATTGTTAAAGGAAAAATGTTTAATTATTTATATCCAATCGGGAGCTTAATTGAGTAAAGATATATGTTTAAGGGTTCAATTGAGTGAAAATAAATAATGTTTACGGATTCAATTGATTCAAAATAGAAAATTCAAGATTTGATTAATTATAATAAATTATTAGGGGTTTAAATGATTATTAAATTTTTATTTGAGAGTTTTTTTTTTTTTTATCTTTTGCATAAAAAATAAAATAATTATACATTTTTGTTAAAAATATATGTTATAAATGATAAAGATTTTTTTTTAAAACTTTTCATTCTTTTTATTATATATCTTCTTGGTTAATTAAGATTAATTCACAATGTTGAAATAATTTTTAAAATCATTTCGACACAATACTTTTAGGAATTACTTAAAGTTATATATCATTTAAGAATTTTTTTAAAAATTGTTATTCATAATTTTTCAAAAATTTTAAGATTCTTTAAATTACAATTTTTATTTGTTAGCTTTATAGGTGAGATGGTGATCCAAGAGGGGGGTGAATTGGATTTCTTCAAATTCTTCCCAAACAAATGATTTCAATATAATTGAATGGAAATGAAAACAATAAGCACTTTTGATAAAAATATAATGCTAACAATAACAATTAATAAACCTAAAATCAAATATATAGAGAAATCAAACAAAATGATTTATATAGGTTGATCCTTCTCTACAAGGTACCTACGTCCTCTTTCTTAGTTGTCTACACCAAGGCTTCAATCTACTAATTGAAGAAAAATTTTTACAAGATACAAGCCTATCTTGTACTAAATCTCTATCTTTTTCTCAAGGCTTAGATAACAACCTCTACCCTTACAATATCAAGAGGATACCTCACCTCTTATTCTCTTCCACTCTTGTATATCAAAGGTAATTTTGTAAATAATTAAACAACCTCTCTAAGGCTAAGTGTTTGTTAAGTTTAAGTATAAGAAAATGATGAATGAACAACAAATATAATTTGGATATAATAAATACAAAGATATTGACTTTGAAGCTCTAAAAACTCTTGATTCTTTGAGAGAATGAAAATATAGCTTATTGGCTCTTGCTCTCTTGATTCATTAATCTTCTTAGTGTGTTGGAGTGCCCAATTTATAGAGAAATTGAAAAAAGTAGCCGTTGGGGAAGCTTGGAGTGAAGAAATGCCCTTTGGAATCATGCAAAAGTAGCCGTTGGTGTGCTTGTGCTCAGAACTGATCGATCCCTTGTTTGAGGGGATCAATTGGTTCATGTTTGAACCATTTTTCACTTGAAAACAGCCTAACCGATCGATCTCTTTTTGTACGGGATCAATTGGTTAATGGGGTGATCGATCCCCTATGTGAGGGGATCAATCCCTTTTCTGAATTTTCAATCTTGGGAGCATTTTATTTGAAAAAGCAATCGATCCCTTCTAGAGGGGATCGATCCTGTCTATGCTGGGTGGTAGTTTCCTGTTTTGCACTCTACTTACTAATTTGATCATATCTTGAGTTATACAAATCCAAATTACAAACCATTTGAAGATTTAGAAACTAGACTTAAAGGAATTTCTATCCATAAAGTTCATCATCTAATTCAATGTGTATGAATTATAGTGAATTTTTAAATCTACCTCTTGTGCAGTTTTTAGACAACTGCAGTGTGTCTAGTAAAAATTCAAAATCTTTTCTTAAAAAATTTGGATTTTAATTTTGTTTAATCCATTAGAAAGTAGACTCAAAGAGCTTTCCAACCATATAAAATTCAAATATTAAGACTTTGTGAATTAATACAGAAAAATAAAACAAATTCGATGTTGAAAAACTTTGTTATTGTAAAACAACTTTCTTAAGTTAATCTATTTCTCAAAACCAATTTTATCAAAATTGTATTAAGTCCAAAATGAATAAGTTCACTTTAAAAACAACAATTGGACTTTCATTTAAGCTCAAATAAATAATCTTTAAAGATAGATTTGGTTTGAGAAATATGAAAACAAAGAAAGATTTGTTTAAGCTTTGAAAATCATATTATTTATTTAGTACCAAAATATAAAACTTAAGAACATGTACTAAATAAATCTTTTTCAAAAT